GACAAACGGCTGTGCAGCACGCAGATACAGAAAGCAAAGACTGAGCGGTTAGAGAGAGAGAGAGAGAGAAAAAAAAAACAACGGTCGAGGCCGTGAAGAACCCTGATTTGGGTGCCGCATAGATAGAGGGAGAGGCGGACTTGACTCCTTCTAATAAGAGCTAGGAACTTGGAACCAACGCGGTGAGTAAAGAAAAAAGAAGAGAAAAAGCTAACGATGCAACTTAAAAAAAAAAGGAAACTTAAATAGCTTATCAAATTAATTCCATTCTTATAGATTTGTGTGGAGACGACAGAGTGAACCAATCCTCTGTAGGAGGGAACCGTTGGAGCGCGTTGGTGAGTGAATGAGATTAAATTCAGTAAATTATTAAATTCAAAAAAGCTAATTACAGCAACCGAGGTGACAGCAGTGGGCTGCTAGACGTTAGATCCCAGGAGTTAACATCTCAAACTACCAGTTAACGGTGGTAGGGCATATAGGAGTTAACGGCTCAAACCGCCAGTTAACGGCGGTAGGGCATATGGGATTCCCAGGAGTTAACGGCTCAAACCGCCAGTTAATGGTGGTACGGCCTAGATGTACAAGGTCCTCAGGGGTGTTATAGCTAACGCCATAGAATTAGCAATGCGTCCCTTAACCAAACATTTAATAATAAAAAAAATAGATAAATAAAAATAAATAAAAGCTAACTGATTAGGGAGGAATTATTTTACAAAGGTGGACCAAAGGACCAGAATTTATATTTTGTTTAATTTTGTTATAGAAAATTTTATTTATTTATTTAATTATTTGTTTGTTTATTTATTTATTTATTGTGTTACAGATATACAAGGTGTCACAATGCTGTATAGAAACACAACTAAATGTATCCTTGTTGTCATGAATGTATTTCTTGTCGAATAGTGTAGAGTAATAGAATCTAACTGAGCCTATTGAGCTGAACAATTGTTGTCATATGTAATTATATTTCCAGAGCTACTGAGAATTATTTTAATAGACAATCAAATTGATGTTATGTTAGTTGAACTGTGAACCCAAACATGATTGGCTATGCCAATAGAGTGAAGCATTTGTTTAAGTCTGTAAGACTTTATGCTGTGATGTGACGAGAAGGGTCGATGCCAACTTGCTAACAGTCCTGTTGTTTACAGGCTGGGTTTTTTTTTTCCTTGGGTTTGATCCCGACTCCTATGATCACTCACTTGGAACGAGAACTGGATTTCTTCCTGACGAGGGAGATGGCGAGCCTTAACCACTGAACGAACCAGGACATCTCAAGTAACTGAAGAGCAGACTGCTCTCTTCAGTGAACAATCTCAACGGTGTGGTAGGAAAAAATCGCACCACCGGACTCTGACTTTCACCCCAAGCGTGGGGATTTGACTTGACGCCGGCTGACTTGTGACTCATATGATCAAATCTCATACCGACCATTTTACTATTGTCGATTGTTTTCATCTGTTTTTGTGTGTTATCTTTATGTGTTATATTTCCCATTATTATTAAAATTTAGTATATAAACCGTTTCATGCTATACCCGTGACTCCAGTCATTCTTAAACAACCTCCAATTCTCCCCGAACCTAATTATTGGCCCATTTGTTTATTTTTTCTTTTAATTATCTTATTGTATCCTGTAATCCGGTTACAAAAGCTAACTCAGGTGTTTGCTAACCATCTAAATGAAGTGCCGCCCGCCTCGGGGGCGGGCCTCTAACCTATGTGAACCCATCCAATTGGCCAAATGGGTGAAGAGCTCCATTTGGTTTAAAAACATCATGCTTCTGTTTGGTTGACAGAATGCATCATGTATAGCAAACATCTGAGCTGACCATTCATTGCGATATTTATCTGTTCTTTGCGATATGCATATTGTGCATGCTGATATCGCGATAACGATATATTTACGATACATTGCTAGGGATGGGTACCGTTGACATTTGAATAGATTCGGTACTAATTCCCGGTACCTAGGAATCGATACCGGTACTTAACGGTACCAATTTTCAATACTTTTGAGTGTTTAATATTTTAATTATCTTATATAATGAAATACATATTTTTCTCAATATATAACCATATATATATATATATATATATTTTTTTTTTTAATCTTTATTTCATTCAAAAAAAAAAAACACAACAGATACTAAACAATATTCATGAAAACACAATATATATTTGAATGAAAGGGAGCAGATAGAAGAAAAATCTTATTATTTCTGCCCCCTTTTTAAACTTAAATATCAATTTATATTTGTGCAGTCCCTCACCAGTTCTTTCAGTCCCGTAACTGTTCACATTTGTTAATTATTATGTCCACATCAATTGTCCGTTGTCATATCCACTCAACACACGTGATTTAATGTGTAGACTAAACACTTTTAGAGTTCTTGACTCTTTCTATTCTCTGTCCAGGCAATTCCACAACTTCACACCATTCACAGATATGCTCATTTCCTTCATTCTTGTTCTAAATCTAGGTTTTTTGAAGATTTCAAATCCCTTCAACGAATAACTGCTATCTCTCTTTTCAAATATATGCTGAATATTCTTTGGCAATGTACCTTTATTTGCTTTATACATTATATGCAATATTCTCCAGTTGACCAAATCATGAAATTTAATTACTTTATATTTTATAAATAATGGGTTAGATGGAGCTGTACTATGAGTGTTGTCTATAATTCTCATTGCTCTTTTCTGCAAAACAAACAAAGGTTGTGTATACGTTCTATATGCAGTTCCCCAGATTTCTACACAATAATTTAAGTATGGCAGAATCAGTGCATTGTATAGTAATAACAATCCTTCACTATTTAGTAAAAACTTTACGCTATATAATACTGCAATGGCTTTGGCCATTTTACCTTTTATATAGCCTATATGTGATTTCCAGCTTAGAGCTTCATCAATCATTACTCCCAAAAATTTGATTTCTTATACCCTTTGAACTTCCATGTTATCTATTTCTAATATTACGTCTATATTTTCTTTATCATTAAATAGAATGAAATTAGTTTTTTTAAGATTAAGTGTTAATTTATTTATATCAAACCAGTTTTTAACTTTTATCAGTTCAGTATTTATTACATGAGTTACTTCATTTATATCAGACCCTGAATAAAACAATGTTGTATCATCTGCAAACAAAACAGAACCTAGCTTGTCAGACACATTTACCAAATCATTGATATACAGGTTGAACAATTTTGGTCCAAGGACTGACCCTTGTGGCACTCCATAAGCAATATTTCGTAGCTCTGATGTAATGCCATTTATCTGAACATATTGCTTTCTTTTATCTAAATAACTTCTAACCCATTGATGAGCAACCCCTCGTATTCCATACTGATATAATTTTTGCAGTAACCTTGAATGATCGATAACGTCAAAAGCTTTCTTTAAGTCAATAAAAACACTAATAAAGTATTCTCTATTGTCTATCGCTTCAGATATTTTCTCTGTTAAATCCATTATTGCCATTGTTGTTGAATGTTGGGTCCTGAATCCATACTGTTCATTATGTAAAATCATATTTTTTTCAATAAATTTATCCAACCGTGATGCAAAGACTTTTTCTATTATTTTGGAAAACTGTGGAAGTAGTGACACTGGCCTATAATTTGTGAAATTATGTTTATCACCATTCTTAAACAGTGGAACCACTTTTGCTATTTTCATAGCATCAGGGAAGACTCCAGTAGAAAGTGACAAATTACAAATATAAGTAAAAGGATCAATAACAGATTCTATTATGGTCTTTACAGTCATCATGTCCAAATCCTCACAATCAGTTGATCGCTTATTTCCACAGTTTTTTACAATTTCTCGTATTTCCTCTTTTTCTACTTTGCAAAGGAAAATACTACTGACATTATTTACTACTGTATTCAAATCGTCTTCAATTAAAGTGTCATGACCCATCAAACTCCTTTGATAAATATCATGATAAATAACATACAACTGTTTGTATTTTAACATCGTCCTTGTAGTTTTATAAGCTGATAATTAAACTGAAGCAAACATCTTTACTGTGAACTAAATTTACTGTGTATCTTCATTCCTTTTGCCGTCCTTTTTCTTTGATTTTTTCTACTGGGAAGTTAGAATTTCCGAGGAGAAAGCGAACGCACCATTAGCTGATAACAATGGTGGCAATGGAAGCTAACATATCAAGCTAACGTTATCTTAAACAGTTTATTTAGCTGCTGGAGCAGATTAAAACGATGATGCCTCACACTTAGAACGTTGTCGCTGGTTTCATCTTCACCCAATCACCCGTCGCATTTAGTAAAGTGAAGCCAAACTTTAGAGCGCGTTCAAGTTCTTCTAGTCCGAAATTCGGAGTTCCGAGGAGAAAGCGAACGCACCATTAGCGAAACGGAAGCTAACATATCAAGCTAACATTATCTTAAACATTTTATTTACCTACCGGAGCAGATTAAGATGAGGATGTCTCACTTAGATCGTTGTCGCTGGTTTCATCATCACCCAGTTACCCATCACATTTAGTGAAGTGGACCCAAGCTTTAGCGTGCGTTCTTTCTACCATGCTGCTCTGTTTACAACTGGCTCGCAGCGACCGACGACATAACGCTCTTGCGCATGCGCAGCTGTCTAGGCAAGTTCTCGTTATGAAGGACGGGTACCGAAACGAGGCACCGTTTCAAATGACGTGAATCGGTGCTCAGTCGGTACTATGGAATTCGGTCGGTACCGTAAAAAGTACAGAATTCGGTACCCATCGCTATGTGCAGCCCTATGATGGAGCTTGTTTTTGTTTCAGTCTCCATTACCCCTTTCATTCACAACACGACTCTTCAGGCTCTAAAATTACCCGGTCAGATTTCGAAATGATTATTTTTAACAATCACACAGAAGCAAACGAGTGAAACACACACAGAGTTAACCTCCTGTAGGTAGCAGCATGTTGTAGTCCTGAGGTGTGAACTAAAAGGTCTCCAGAGAAGAGGAAGAAAGGGAATCTGCGGTTACCTCGGCGGAGCCCAGTCATGTTTGGTGCAGTCCAGCAGGGTTCCCACGTAGGTCCTCTTCCTCCAGGTCACGTTCACCACTAGCACACCTGTCAGTCACAGAAGACCCACCAGCATCAGAACGTGGAAAAATAAAACAAATCTTTAAAATGAAAGATGAATTTAACCCAACAAACATCCGCTTTGGTCTGAAAGAGGCTTTCAGCTCTTTACCAGGAGATTAAAGAGCTGCTAAATGGCTCATTTGTTTGTGTTCGCTTGTATCTGACGAAGAACGACTCACTGATGAAAGAAAATCAAATACATCTGAGAGGAGGATGTTCCTCTGATGAGCCGACACCTGAGATCAGCAGCCGACAGACTCAGAGTTCCTCTTCTAAAAGGCTCAAACTGTCCCAGGCAGAAGATCACCTCAGAGTTTTCAGGTTTAGTCTGGAGGTTTAAACTCCTCCAGCCGATGAAATGAACACCCTTCTCTTCCACCAGCTTTCTTCTCCCTCTGATGCTCTCACGCTGACATTTGAAAGCCGTTAACCTACGAGTTGTGATGCTCCAGCAGCAACGCAAAGCAAATCCAATTTAAGACACATTACAGCTTTCAAACAAGGTTCAACCGCAACGGACGACTCGTCACTTTTCAATTAGGGACGATGGCCGCCGCTTTCAGATGAGAGCTGGGAGACGTGACCGAGAGGTGGACGTGTTCAGAGAGAGGCCAGAAGATCTGAAGGAACAGAAATCCCCTAAACGAACCTGCTTTCAGGTTTTAAAGGTGTATTTTACTCCTTCAATCAACACATTTGCAGTAGTCTCTAGTAGGAATGAATGGCTTGTAAGTCAAGAAGAAGCTCTGGGACACCTGTTTCAGAAAGTACAAGTCAGCTGGAGGAGAAGGTAGCTTCAGAGGCAGGATCTGGAGTCTTACTTCCTGGTATGTGGACATCTCACCTCTGATTGGCTAACAGCAACTCGACTCTACCACTGGCTCTGGTTGCTCTGCAACACTGATGTTTTATCTCCATAAATAACACAAGCCTGGAGTTCTGCCATGTGGTGGAGCTGCTAATGCTAACAGTTAGCTTCTACTAGCTGAGACGTTCTCCGCTGTTTCCTGGACGCTAAACCAACAACAGCCTTCCCCGTCGTGAGTCCAGATGGGTGAGTCCGTGAATGTTAGTGACAGTGTGACGTAGATCTGTCAGGATTTTCCAATCCTCGAGTTTCACCGTCTGTTTTCTATCAGAAGCTACTGCAGGAGGTAGGTGTAGGAGACTATATTCATGTTCTGCCTGCATGAAACACTCAAGAGTGACCCGTTAGAATCAGCGATAATTATTAAACATGTTTTTTTCAGTGAACCACACCTTTAAACCAGGTAACACAGAGTTCTGACGCTTTAATGTGGCTTCTTCGACCACAAAAATAGTTAAATGCCAGAGATTAGCAACCAATTTATTAGCAATCTGACTCGCCACGAGTGTTGTTTCAGATGATTACTTCCTGTTTCTAGAGACTCCACCCACTGTGACATGTCAAATTTAACTAAATGATTAAAAATCCCATTTAGAGTATTTATTGTCCTCTAAATATGTTTAAACAGAACGATGAAGGCGTTCACTCATCGACGGATTTAAACCCCTCTAAAAACTCATTAGTTTGTTCCTTTATCAACTAGACCCATTAGAATCAGAAATAATCATTAAAACATGTTTTCTCAGATCCAAACTTTAGATTTTACCGCTTTAAATTTACCTTAAAACCTCAGAGACACAACCCTAAACCCCCAAGGCCTCGACCCGTAGACCCATAAACAGAGTAAATCCATCCATCCATGAAAATGTGTCATCTTCATCAGGTGTTTAAGCCCCGCCCCTGGTTCTTCTTCATGGATCTTCATCAGGGTAGAACTCCCAGCTGAGCCTCATTTCCTCTCACAGTCGATAGGAAATGTACAGAAATGCACTGAAGATGTGTTTAATGTCTGTTTCACCGCTCATTAGCTCTGTCAGTGAGAAGAATGGAGTTTAACCGACTGTGTCACGCTGAACAGGGTCCCCGGAAACACACGGAGTAACACCTCAGTCATCGTTAAACACTGCCGGCGCAATATGAGCAAAGACTGTCAATAAAAACATCAAACAGACTCAAATTTTAGTTTTAGTCTAAAATCTTTGCAGAGAAAAAAAAATCACCTTTAAATGTTTCAGATTAGGAGTTATTTTATTCTACATCAGGTGATCTGTAAGAAGCACCGTTGTAAAGATGTAAAAGCAGCAGCCTCCGACCACTGAAATGAATCAAATCTGCATGAAAACAGAGTAAGTGGCTTTTTATTTTACTGTAAACCTCTAAATATCTGCCTGAACCCGTTTGCTGTAAGACAGGAAAGCTAAAAATCGTATTTCTTGTCCTTTAAAGAGCAAGTTACCCCTAAATCATCTTTTGTTTCTGATAAACTATATAAATGCGTGTCTAATCGTGCTACAGACACATGTATTAAATAGTTTTGCACTTTAGTGAATTTTAGTTAAAATTTTAATTTTCTGCCTAAAACTGTCAGTGTTGTGCCGTTGTCAGGTAAAAACTCTGCACTGCATTTGAATTAAAATCTGCCATCGCTATTGGCTAAGATGTACCCTAGAAAGTTAGCTGGTACCATATGATGTCACAATGTCGTTGTGAGCCTGTGTGTGTGTTTGTTAGCGGCTCCGCCCTCTCGGTCTGCTAGGCAACAGCATTTGTTGCCTTTTTCAAACAGGAAGTGGGAGTGGAGTAATACTCTGGTAGGGGGTGACTTGCTCTTTAAACAACCAGAGCACAAAACGCGTTTAGAGGACGCTAAAAAAAAAACCTTAGGTTGGTGGATTTCTGTCTCAGAGACCCAAGATGTGAGGACTAAATCTCCAGAAAAGCTGCAGCAGTTGGGGGTTTTCCTCCTCGCTGTGACATCCCCTGAAGGCGGCGATGGTCTGAAACGTGACGGTTTCTAATTTTAGTCGGCGTGACTTTGTCTCCTCTCCTCCTGGGAAGAAGCCAAAACACTCATAGCTCATCACTTTGTGTCTCGTTGTCGTGGGCCCCGATGACAGCATCATGTTTAACAGAGAGGATGTGCTTTCAGAAACCGTTAAAGCCGTTTTCTAAAAGCTTCATGAGGGAAAAACATCCTTCTTTTTCCGACTGATGATTTATGCCTCACAGATAACTGGTTCCGTAGAGAAGAGATCCAAATGAACCAGAATCATGGATTTTTGGAACCAGAAAAATGGATTTCAACAGGGACTTCTCCTCGAGGCCAGGTCATGTTTGTAAATGAGGACGTGTTCTCAACCATTTAACCTGGTTAAATAAGAAAGAAAAAAAACTAGGTCCTTTTTAACTCATTCACTGCCATTGACGACTAAAGTCGTCATTTGCATTTTTTTACTGTTTGAGCATCGGAACGAGCCCCCGCGCTGAGAACAAACATCTCAGCCCTGAAGCCGATCTTCATCCGCATACGTCACAGATCACATGATCAGGAAGCAACACATCCATGCGTTTGGAGATCATTTTGGGCCGTTCCTGTAAAAAAAGTGAGGCGCGAACCGGAAAAGCGTCTGCCAATCACAATTCGACAATGGATTATGAAAGAACGGATAACGCTCGAAACACGCGGCTTCTTCCTGATGTAAGAGGTGAGTCTCCTCTTTGTTTTGGTTGTTTTGGCATCGACATCATGCTAGCGCGCAACGTTCAGTGACTCTTAAAAAAACAGCAAAAACGGTGAGAAACGCTGGCAGCGAAGGCCGTTAGTGATCAGGAAACGGCTGGCAGTGAATGAGTTAAAGAGCAAGTCACCCCCTACCAGAGTATTACTCCACTCCCACTTCCTGTTTGAAAAATGCAACAAATGCTGTTGCTTAGCAGACCGAAAGGGAGGAGCCGCTAACAAATACACACACTCATGACATTGTGACATCATAATGTACCATCTAACATCATAGTGTACCTCTTAGCCAATAGCGACGGAAGATTTAAATTCAAATGCAGTGCTGAGTTTTTGCCTGACGACGGTGCGTCGCTGACAGTTTTAGGCAGAATATTTAAATTTTAACTAAGATGCACTAAAGTGCCGAGTTATTGACTACATTTGTCTACAGCACAATCAGACACTCATTTATATAGTTTATCAGTAATAAAAAATGTTGATTTGGAGTGACTTGCTCCTTAAGGTCTTTTGCTTCCTTTTGTGCTGCCACGTGGGTCTGCACTGCCTCCATAAACTACAAACGTGGAGAAAACCGTGGTTTCAGGAATCAAGACGTTTGAAAAAGTCCATTATTGTGATGTCACAATGAGGAAAATTAGCACTGAACATGTTTTGTATCGACCATAGAAGGATTATAACTTGCTTAGAAACGATAGCATGTGTCCCCTTTAACTAGACATCCACCTGAAGCTCCACGCTGCTGGAGACACTGGAGACCATCCAGGAGCCAGCCCGCCCCGCTGGACCGCCCGAAGTCTACACGTTTTCCTCTATTCCATCTTGTTTAATTTAACATTTGTGTATTTATGTCTCCAATTGCCTGTTTGGTTTTTATTCCTTTTTTAAACTACTGACTGTGTGATTATTTTGCTTGTTTGTTGTTATTGTGCAGCGCTTTGGTCGGCTGTAATGCTGTGTTAAAGGTGCTTAACAAATGAAACGGTATTCTCCGTTTCCACAGCTTCAACCTGCAGGAATTAAACCAGAAAACAGCTCCGGTGGAGGTCTCACCAAAAGAAAGAAAAAACCTTAGAAGTGGATATTTGGCGTTTTTATACAATATAAATTGGTTTCTAACACTTGGTTGTAATATATTTGGATTTTTGAATTCCTGACAGAGACAGACAGACAGACAGACTTTAAGAGTTAAACCAATCACTGTTTGATTAGACTCTGGTCTCCTGCAGCGAGGACGATGAGGAGGAGCTCTTCTTCTTCTCTTTCTGTCTGTCCAATTAGCAGTCAGCTTAATTAACATGCAACCTGCATCTCACTCTCCCCTCCTCCCCCCCCAGCATCCCTCCGCCACCACGAGGGGGGGTGAGTTATCCCTCTGCCTCCTGAACAATTATCCTGGAGCTGCAGGGAGAGAAACTCCTCTTTCCGACTGCATCAGTAACAAAACATTCTCCATCTTATTTCTCCGGCTTGAGTCGTTGCATCCATCTTCATCGCTCGTCTTCGCTCTCGCTGCAGGTTTAACAGCTTTTCTTTCACCATCCATCAGACTGTGAAGCGAATCTCTCTTTCTTTGTTTCTGTTCTCCATCCTCCCATCTCTTCCCTCGTCTCAGTTTAACATCATAAAACTCTCTATTAGGGTCAAAATAGGAACGATACTTATTCTGTAAAAATACCTTTAAAAACGGAGTCGATAATCTTACCTGAAGTGTTTATTTTTCCTAACTTAGAGGTGTTGAGTTTCAGGGATTTGAATAACTCAACAGAAAAGGTGCAGAGTCGTCTCAGGACTTTTATTGACCAGCCTGTTAATGCTAAAGGTTAGAAGACCGCGTTCTGTTGCATTGTGGGTAAGAAACAATTATGAAGCATCATTAGTTCCTGTTTTGTTTCCTGATACGTTTTAATCAGTCTAAAGTTAATCACCACCCGTACAAAGACTTCATTTTGATGATTTAATCGCTTTTCATAATTAACGTTTCATGTAGCTGAAACATTTTGCAGCTTGTTTTAAAGCTTCGTGTTGCTGAGGTTTTGTTTTTCCTTTATTTGCCTTTTTTTCCTTATTTAAGGTGGTTTAGTCTCCTTGAATTGTATTTGTTCCTTCTCGTTCCTTTGGAGAACAGTCTGGATCTTCTGTGCAGTGTTTGTATCTCAGCATCACATTAATTAACAGAGGCTCTTCACTCCACTCTGTTAATAAAAACAAAAGTTTCTCCCCCAAATCGTCCGTCAACGTTGATGACCAGCAGCTAGCAGAACAAGAGAAGCCAGGATGAGAGGTGGAGGCGCCGAGTGCCGTCCTCGTTGGCAGCCACAGCCCAACAGTCCCACAGCATCATTTTATAGAGTTGGCCCATTCTGGTTCTGATTTTCTTCTGGATTTGGACTTACAGTAGCAAGAAAAAGTATGTGAACCCTTTGGAATTATATGGATTTCTGTACAAGTTGTTCATAAAACGTGATTTGATCTTTATCTAACCTGCAACAACAGACAGTCACAGTCTGCTTAAAGGGACATTATGGAAGTGTGACAGCCAAAACATGTATAGAAATAATAAATGTCTTCTTCATACATTCTCCTGCAATGCCCTGGTCCTGTAGAATGAGCCCTGGCATTTTTACTGTGATTGCCTGTTTTTCTGTAAAATCACAGAAAAAGAGAGATGCTCGGGTCGAGCAGGCTGCTTCATGCGCGTTCACGCTCAGGCATCGCCCGTAGCATTTGCTATCCGTAGCTTTAGCAGCAGAGAGAGAGGCAGTGCCACTTTGTCGCTGTTCCTAACGCCTAGTGACAAAGCTAGCTACATTTCTGAGGACCCTTAGCTACTTTCTGTAGAACTTTCTTCTAGATATTTCCTGCTAATTAGCAACAAAATAGTCATTTTCACTCCGAACCGTTCTTTGAACGTTGTTTCAGCTGTCATCAAGGATATAAATGTTACAGATACTATGAAAGTTACTAGAGTGTAGCTCACCTAGTAAGATGTCGGACTCTCGTGCAGGAGACCCGGGTTTGATTCTGGATGTGAACATAGTTCATTTAGAGTTTCTTTTTTACATTAATGGTATATTTTTTACAGTAAGATGCCCAAATTTTTATTTGAGACTCGCCGAACGGCATTGAATTCACAGATAAAAAAGATGTGGGTTCAACTTTCATTTTGGAACAATTTTTCAAGCAAGGGAAGGGAATGATCTGAGCATGCAGGAGGACTGACCCATCATAAACCTTGTCGGCTGTGCTGAAGAGAAAGCTACAGAACCAAATTATTTAATTAATTAGCTGCACGTTCTCCTGTCCTCTGTCCTCCGGGCCACACACACACACACACACACACACACACACACACACACACACACACACACACACACACACACACACAAGGGACTGTCTCAGCTGTTATTTTCGTTAAGGAGTGTGCACGTACAGCATGCACACCTCGTGCACGAGCCTACTATTGAAGCTGCCGTTACGCTTTTGGCCTGAGGGGGCAATCGCGAGCATAAAAATTCAAAACTCCGTAGTCCCTTTAAATAAAGATCAAGAATAAATGAGGCAGCTTTGTGCCTCCAGCAGCTGCTGTCTGTAAACGGTCAGCTGTCACTGCAGCCAACGTTAACGAGCATCGTCTCAGCGTACGGCCGGAGCGGTCTGCAAACAGCAGATTAAAATCAGGAAGCTACTCATCTGTCGAGCTGTGGGAAACGCGTCCTTCAGCAGCTGCTGGCCACGCTAACGCCAGACTGAAGCTAGCTCCTCGTTACTCGCACATTTCTGCTTTGGAGCGTTCGGAGAAAACATCAGAAAGGGTTAGGGTGAATAACAGATTTATAAAACACACAGATTTTTGTTCCTCTTTGACATGAAGGCTGGTGGAAAGCATCTGGCTCAACATAACTGACACTTTTGAATAACCGAGGTCTTAATGCCGCGTTAAAGTAGTTTTACTTTTGTTCGACACCTCCCTACTGACGCCGCTCACAAGAAAAGTTTCAGTCATCTTTTATTTTGTTCAATTTTCAGCCTATTATTCTGTCAGAGATCATCCAGCTTCACCTTTATGGCTTGAATTTGTTTATTATTAGAGACACACCGACACCAGAAACGTTTATCACACAGGAACATTTAACAACAAAAACTGAATTTAATTAAATTACATTTGTCTGAAAGCGGGGAAACTCGCCTGTTCCTCCACCCAAACATCACAATGATGTTATTATACAAAGCTAAAACCCTACAGGGGAGGTTTCACACGGCTAAACTGATTTTTCTGATAAAGCCCGTCACACGTGTAAAGAATGGTCTCGGGATGGGATTAAAGACGGGAAGCACCAAAGGTCTGGGATCATCTGACAAAAAACCCAAACAGCACATGGTCAACATTTAAAAATCCCTATCGGGGCCCCAGACGGGCCCGCCCCTTTACACTGCTTGAGGCTGCATCTATGAACTCTGTCCATTACTCCATAAAAAACAGAATAAATACCAAAATTCTGTGATCTGAACCCATCTGTTCAGTTTCTTCTTCAATACAAAATAAACGTTTCTATATTTTCATGTGACAAAATCCAGATATTCTCTCCTAGAGGAGTTTCCGGAGCCATCCTTACCTTCCTCGGTCTCGTGCCAGACGATACCCTCCAGGTTGACGCTGGTCCCAGGCTGACAGGGCCCCAAGCAGCCTGGATCGTTCTCCGACGCCCCCGGCACGCCTCCATCCTGCGTGTTGGTGCCGACAGACCGCGTCCTGATTGCTAGCTGCTTTGGGTTTGAGGTGGGCAGGGCCGGGGAGGAGAAGGACGGGGCCAAGGGCAGGGAAGATCCAGGGGCCCCAGGGTGGCTTGGAGCCGGGGGGGCCGGAACCGTGAACATTGGGTCCAACTGGAGGGAAGAAAAAGGTCCTATTACTAAACCAAATAAGAATCAAGTCTGAACGGAAATGTAAGGATTATTAAAATGTTTCATCAGAGACTCAAGTTAATCTCAGAAAATCAGACAAAGCTGCCGAAAGAGGGCAGAAAATGAATTATAAGATATTTACCTCAGACCTGAGCATTAATTAAACCGCCCACTGTCTTCACTCACTGATTTCCTAAACCTGAGCAGCGGTTAATCCTCTCAAACACATCTGGCCCGTTAATATTCTCACTTCATCTCCTGTAAATCAGCCGCCATAACCGGAGACCTTAAACAGCAACGATTCTGCTGAAAACAACCTTAATATAAGCACAAGAACGGTTTCTATTAGAGCTCTACACTGTTACACGAACGTGCTGTTTCATATATTACTGTTAAACACAAATTCTATCAACAAGGCACTAAAAATTAAGATCATGAGGAAACATCTGAGCATCTAATATAGACTTCTTGCAATTTATTTGAAGCTTGTTGAATATGGACACCATGATGTTGATCCATCCATCCATCCATCAATCCATCCATCCGTCCATCCATTTTCATCCGCTTATCCAGAGTCGGGTCGCGGGGGCAGTAGCCTAAGTCGAGAGGCCCAGATTTCCTTCTCCCAAGCCACTTGGGCCTAGCCTAGTGAACTAGACCAAATTCTTGCTTTGCAAAGTTTGGTCTAGGCATGCTCCATTGGAACCGCCGCAGCTCCTAACAGCATTCTGGCTGGCCAATCACAGCTCTCTAGAGGGGTTTCAAACACATAAAGAGCTGTGATTGGTCCATAATGGTGGGCCAATCATAGTGCTCTATCTGCTTAGTGAACAAATCACAGAGCTTTATCCGCTTTGTGGGCCAGTCAGGGCACTCTATATGCCTGGTGGGTGGGATGATGCAACAGAGTAAAGCAAGAGTATGTCACATTCATTGTCCAGTGGAATGCGGAGATCATTTGAAAGACAACGGTAGAACCCGCCCCACAACCGAGAGCCGTCAATGGAGCGTGGCCAGACTAAATAATACATTTATTTAGTCTGGCTTGCCAGGCTAACTTGGGCCAGCTCCTCCGGGGAAATCCCAAAGCGTTCCCTGGCCAGGTGAGACATAGTCTCTCCAGCATGTCCTGGGTCTACCTTTAGGCCTCCTGATGATTGGACGTGCCCAGAAAACCTCACCTCAAGGAGGCATCCAGGAGGCATCCTGACCAGATGCCCGAGCCACCTCAACTGGCTCCTTTCGATGTGGAGGAGCAGTGAATCTACTCCGAGCCCCTCCCGGATGACCAAGGTCCTCAACCTATCTCTAAGGGAGAGCCCAGCCACTCTGCGGAGAAAACTCTTTTCAGCTGCTTGTATCCGTGAGCTCTTTCTTTCGGTCACTACCCAAAGCTTGTGACCATAGGTGAGGGTAGGAACGTAGATCGACCGGTAAATCGAGAGCTTCGCCTTCTGACTCAGCTCTCTCTTCACCACGACAGACCACTACAACGCCTACATCACCAATCCGCCTGTTGATATCCCCATCCGACTTTCCCTCGGTTGTGAACAAGACCCCGAGATACTTAAACTCCTCCACTTGAGACAGGACCTCATCCCTGACCCGGAGAAGGCATTCTACCCTTTTCCGAATCAAGACCATATTTAGAAATATTGTGCAGCCCAAAAAGCTATTCTTCATGTAATGTGCTCAGCTAATTCTAGAAGCCTTTTAATGCATGACGTTTTTTGTTATCATTTTAGGAAAATAAACCTAAAAAGGGTAAATTCCAGCCATTCTTCCCCATCCCCGCATATTTCTCTCCTCCTGCTCCCTCACATCATCACACAAACATGCACATGGGACCTTGGGGGGTGGACAAGTCAGGGAGTGCAGGTATGGACCCCATTTCTGCATTCCTGTGGCAACCTGCCCCCCAATTTTATTTGCACCTTATACACTTCCACCGACGACATTCCACGCAAACACATACTTAGGGCCTTGGGAGTGAGCACATTCAACGGCACTTGGCAGGAGGATTTCTCAGCCTCCTCCTGAGTGCCGGTGCCCACTTCCAATTTTAAACTGCACTTAGACACCGAGGGTTGTGGGTGCAAGTGGTGTGGTGCGGTGGCATCGGCTGGCATAGGCCAGACAATGCCCACACTGCCCACTCACCACAGCCATGGAATACACCTCATTAACACACAACACTGGAGGGAGACTAGGGGTCTTAGCACACCTCTGTTGTTGCTTGGCTTCCTGGGGCTGGAGGCTAGGAGGGAGATCTGGCCGTCTGGTTGGGGTCTGGAGTGGTGGGTTGCTGTGCTCAGCATTGGGCGGGGGAGCCTGCTCATCAGCACCCCAGCAGAAAGGGTCAAACTCTGGTAACCGGTGATGGTTGCACCCAATGTGCAGCAGTACCGGGACCAGAGTGAATAGGGTGTGTATGGGGAGCATGAGTGGGTGTCAGGCGTGCATTTTTGTAAGTCTTTGGTTGTATGTGTATGTGTGAGCATGGGAGAGGGAGTGTGTGACTGTGTTAGTGTGTGGCTGTATATGTCAGGTGGGGCCTTTTACTCCTCCCCTCTACTGAGACTTCTTTTGATGATATAGATCTTCGTCTCCCCTCCCCCTGCCACACCTGGTGTGGGGTGTGGTGCCTTGGTCTGCCTGAGTGTTCGTGGCTCCCGGGTCGGGGGTTTAAGATTTTTGGCATCTGCCTGATCAATCCCAGTGGCAGCCTGGTGGGGTCTGGGTCCCTGGACTCTGCTGGGTCTCCGGCGGGGGTGGTCGCCCCTGGGTCCCGGGTCACTGGGTCCTGGGCTCGGGCGGCTAGGGGGTGGGAGGCTGCAGGCGGGTCTGAGGGCTTGCCGCTGATGTCTCCTGGGACTCTGCTGGCTGCTGGTTGTGGCCCCCCGGGGCGATCCTCTGTGCCTCTCAAGGGGGGCGGGGGCCTTTCTGGTTGCAGTCTCCTTGGGGTTCCTGTGTTCTGGGGCAGCGCCTGGATCTCTGGGACTTGGAGCTCCCCCGTCTCCTATGCGTCTTTGGGGGGCGGATCTGTGGTCCCTCACACTCTCTATTGGATGCTCCTATGGATAAACCTTACATAAACAAGCGCGTGTACACACACACAATTGCTCACATGGTGCTCTCAAAAGTATGGGCTTGGGCACGTTCAACACATGTCTTAAGACTATGGTGGGCACTAAATGCACTGTGATTTATTATCGTGTGACTGTTCAGTTAAACGATGTTGATTATATATTTCATCAAGTTGACACAGTGATAGCTTGATCTTGTATTGTTGTTGTGTCCCATTTTTTGTTTTTTGTTTTCTTGTCTTTTTCTGCAGGTCTAGAAGCAGACTCTTGTTCATTATTGTTTATTTTTGTGGAACCCCCCCACCCCCCCTCTCCCCACCTTTTATCTTTTCATTTCTCTTTCACCTCTGACTCCGTGTCTGGTCGGAATTACAAAGCATTCAAAAACAATAACAATAAAGTTTTAAGTATCAGGCGTGACATTAAAAGCAGACGCTTTGATGCTCCACCTGAGAGTAAATCTGTAAGGCTTGTTACCAGCATTCAGACATCAATTCTGTTTGCTTTACAGCCAGACAGGACACGGTAAAATAAATAAATAAATAAATAAAAATAATAGGCATGCCCTCAAATGTTCATCTAATCTGTTGTTTGCTGATTAATATATATATATATATATATATATATATATATATATATATATATATATGTGTGTGTGTGTGTGTGTGTGTGTGTGTGTGTGTGTATGTATATAAATCAAGAAGTTTTAAGTTTTCAAAACAAAACATTTAAAAAACAATCAAATAATTTCTTAAACTGTTCTGTCCAATTCTGACTTATTTAAAATCTATATAAAATGTATTTTATACATTTGTGATTAGTGTGCAAAATCATTTTCCAACAGAATTTTAGAAGTTTTTACTTCAAGGATCGGAATGTTTAAGCTAAACAAAAAGAGATCCTGTTGATTTCAGATCAGCAGGTCGGAGCAGCACATTCCTACTAATACAGCACACATTAAATGTTAATAATCAGGGAGAAACATCTGAATCTAAATCATCAGAAACTGGTATCAGAATCGGCCCTCAGGTTCCCTATCTGTGCATCTCAAACATCCAAGGAAAACCAGAGGTTCAAAGAACATCTTTATTAAATTATATAAATGAAAAATATATAATCACAAACATAAAATATTACATTTAGCTAAATTCTTTATTAAACCAGCAGCCTGTGTGACTTCCAGCTTTATCAAAGATTATTTCTAATTTTCAGTTTTCCGTCTCCAGCAGTGTTTTATTAATCCCTAAACATTGCTTCTTCTTTTTTTTTTTCACATGTCCGGAGCTTTTGAACTAGGGCTGCAACAAACGATTATTTGGATAATCGATTAATCGGATGGGGTCTCGACGCGATTACTCGATTAATCGGATTACATGGGGAAATTTTTAAAAACTGCTAGGGAAACGTTATTTCTCTCCTTCCTTCACTTTATTTAACACAACATTATTAGAAAACAGTTCAATAGCAGAAAAACAACATGCCATCACCTAAATTGTCTTATAAGGTGTATAGACAGAGACCCTAAGCTACATCTATCTGTGACCTAAAATGCTTGGTCCAAGTTAAACAGCTTGAGGGCAATTCTCATCTGTTTTGTTTGATCTCATCTGTTGACATTTATTATAACTGGGGATGTCAAACAACTAATTTTTAAATGTAATTAAACATAGGCTGTGAATTAATCAAAATTGATCACTATTTCCAAAAATGACTGAAAAAATACCAAATAAAACAAAAGTAAATGAATGCCATCCTCCTTGTGATGATGCCCTGGGCAACTGCCATAAAGTCACATCAAGAAATGCTGCTGACAATTCCAATGATTCCAAATAGACTCACATTAGGCCACATGAAAGCAACTGAACCCAAAAATATATTAACCAGTATATAACTGCA